ATCCACTTATATCAAGACAAATCAACTTGTATAACAACAATTCAGAGAACAACACTCGCAGCACAATTAGTAGGTAGGCTATAACCTGTAATATTTGATCAGTAACATTAACTATGATCGGTACACAATAGTTACTGTTCAAGTTTAATCATTTACCTATTATACAGTACAGCATTAATTTAGCACAAAATTACTGGCAAAATACTATATTTAAGTTGAACTGAACCCCCTCCCCCCTAAAAATACCCCATTTGTTGGTACAGTTTCCTGCCTTTTCCAGTATTGTATTTTTAAAACGTATATACAGTACACTCGCACCGAGCGCGAGGTGGCCGACGGGAAGTGATATTGCAAGTGTCTCGAACCCCTCCTGCCAGCAAGCTGGGGCCGAGGCAGGCATTGCATGGTATGTCTGGCAGCGTAGGAAGACTAGAGGAAAAGCCAGTCAGCCAGCATTAAAAGAGTTCACCAGTTGCCCTCATATTAACACAATTACCAAGATTTAAAATCGTGTAAAGTACCTTAGTATGAAATTTAAACTACTTTCTTACAAATGCTGGAGACTAAGGGATTTAGGTCAAGCTTATTTTTGGAAAAATCAATATTTTGACAACGTGAAAACTAACTTCTTCGTATCGTAAAGATGGTCTACATATTTAAGAATACCCTGTATCTATAAAGGCTTTTTAAAACCTACAAGCAAAGCATACTTTAAATATGTAATTATTTCAAAGTAAGTTAACAATTACTCTATTTTTTTTTTTAAAGGTGAACAAATCCTTAAACAAAACTAAAACCACAACGACAGCTACAGTACTGTAGGCCTACTTTAAGTTATAGCAGAATGTTTCCGATTTTGTGCAACAACAGTTCCGTTAACGGAAACTAACAGTCTTGTGTACTCGTCTTCACGGTCCTCGAATGAATAATATTGTAACTAAAAATTAAGTAATGTAGTCTTTGTACAACTGTAATGCAATAAAATAAGAACACACATCTACAGTACGTCTCTATAGCCAAAATATATACCAAATCTTGTGAAGTACGTCCGAATAAACACTTAAAATATTTAACATTAAATCTTCGTGAACATGAAATTAACCACAATTAACACATACCGTATAGGAACAGGGTTGCCACATGTACGACAAGCTTCACGGCCAAATCTTTTTGGATGGAAAGCACAAAGATATTTTGCAATCCACACAAAATAAAAATCTCCCCCACAATATGCACTTAAAATGTCGCAATCAAACAAAATTTTCACTTATAATTCAGAGCCCAATAATTACATAAACATAATATCTATAATCTACAGTGAAGATTTACCGTAAACTCAAATGGTGGTGGAGCATGATAATGGTGGAGTCCAGTTCGTCACCGTCCCCTGGTTCTTCCTTCTCGTACGTGATTGCAGAGTTAAATAGCTCCACCATGTGTGGTGTTACTTTCAAATCTCTGCAACATTTTCCTTGGAACTGGAGCATTTTCACTTCCATCACTGGCTATACTAACACAGACGAATTTTTCTTCCCATAATTTGTTATATTTTCTACCACTGTCGTAAGACACTTTGCAAAAACTAATCATTTTGAAAACTATCAATCAGAATTTCAGAAAGTAACTCAGATGGCTTTGTAAACTATAAAGCAGGGGTTCTCAACCAGGGGGAATTTCCCCCCTCAGGTTTTCAGAGACGGGGGAAAACTGATACTAATATGGAAATAATAAAGGATTTTCAGTATTATATGCATATTATTTGGAATGCACTTTTTGAGGCAGACAATCTTGGAAAGGAGGGGGGAATGACATTCTGACATATGGTGAAAAGAGTGCATGAGGCAAACAAGGTTGAGAACCACTGCTATAAAGCTTAACCCATATGCTGGACACGTTCAGTCTGAACAACTCAAATATGAGAACTAACAACTAAGGCAGTAACTAGTAAGGACAGTCACCTTTCAATTGAGAAATTTGAAAATCTGTTAGACATGTCTTCAAAATCCACTAGATGAGGTATTAACACAAAATTCGGCCAAATAGTTTGGCCGTGACCAACCACTTTCCACGGCCGAAGTAGAAAAATTTGACAACTAGTCTTAGCGAGTCCCAGAGATAACCGATTCGAGTAAGTGACAGCAACAACGTCGTGGACCCCCCTCCTTCCCACCCACCGCACACCACTTCGTCCGAATGATTAACTATAATACAAACTTCATCGTATATACAAATTTTAACTATACACACTTTGGCTTCTACATTAGATATAATTACTTTGCCTAAACTACTATTCATGTAGCCTTACCACAGTAGTAGTATAAAATCTAACCTTACATGAGCCACACTTTCTATAATAATTAAATATCCATTCTTGAAACTTATGAATACAACAAATTTTGCTCATAATTCTCTTCCAACAGGTTATGCAAGTCAGGAACATTGTACAACAATAGTTATGCTCACCTTTATAAGACTTCAGCCAATGTCAAATAGCCAAGAATGCTCTTCCACCTCCCACACACTTCTGAAATAAAAAATAAACACGTCAACATTTATAGAAAAATTATTAAAATTTGCCCTTGTACAAGACTTTCTTTTTTCCCCAAAAATGTATCGCAAATTACCCTTCGTCTAATGCGCCGTAGGCGTAGGTGACTAGCTAGCAAGTCTGAGACGAGCAGTAGTATACTAAGCACAAACATTACGTTCCTAATATTACTGAAAAACAAACAAAATTATCACAAACTTACGGCAAATTGGACGAAGATGTAAATAATGGCTTAACAGCAGAGGGAACCTCACAGTATTCACCAATAAAACTTTCTTTTTAACTATGGTAAATTTAATTTATGCTCACCTGTATATTGTATATAAAGGCTTCAGCCAAGGTCAAATACCCTACAAAGGTCATCCACCTCCCACTCAAATCTGAAATAAGTCATTAAACCGTCAACCTTTATAGACAAATTATACTTATATCAAGTCCAAATATCCACTTATATCAAGACAAATCAACTTGTATAACAACAATTCAGAGAACAACACTCGCAGCACAATTAGTAGGTAGGCTATAACCTGTAATATTTGATCAGTAACATTAACTATGATCGGTACACAATAGTTACTGTTCAAGTTTAATCATTTACCTATTATACAGTACAGCATTAATTTAGCACAAAATTACTGGCAAAATACTATATTTAAGTTGAACTGAACCCCCTCCCCCCTAAAAATACCCCATTTGTTGGTACAGTTCCTGCCTTTTCCAGTATTGTATTTTTAAAACGTATATACAGTACACTCGCACCGAGCGCGAGGTGGCCGACGGGAAGTGATATTGCAAGTGTCTCGAACCCCTCCGTGCCAGCAAGCTGGGGCCGAGGCAGGCATTGCATGGTATGTCTGGCAGCGTAGGAAGACTAGAGGAAAAGCCAGTCAGCCAGCATTAAAAGAGTTCACCAGTTGCCCTCATATTAACACAATTACCAAGATTTAAAATCGTGTAAAGTACCTTAGTATGAAATTTAAACTACTTTCTTACAAATGCTGGAGACTAAGGGATTTAGGTCAAGCTTATTTTTGGAAAAATCAATATTTTGACAACGTGAAAACTAACTTCTTCGTATCGTAAAGATGGTCTACATATTTAAGAATACCCTGTATCTATAAAGGCTTTTTAAAACCTACAAGCAAAGCATACTTTAAATATGTAATTATTTCAAAATAAGTTAACAATTACTCTATTTTTTTTTTAAAGGTGAACAAATCCTTAAACAAAACTAAAACCACAACGACAGCTACAGTACTGTAGGCCTACTTTAAGTTATAGCAGAATGTTTCCGATTTTGTGCAACAACAGTTCCGTTAACGGAAACTAACAGTCTTGTGTACTCGTCTTCACGGTCCTCGAATGAATAATATTGTAACTAAAAATTAAGTAATGTAGTCTTTGTACAACTGTAATGCAATAAAATAAGAACACACATCTACAGTACGTCTCTATAGCCAAAATATATACCAAATCTTGTGAAGTACGTCCGAATAAACACTTAAAATATTTAACATTAAATCTTCGTGAACATGAAATTAACCACAATTAACACATACCGCATAGGAACAGGGTTGCCACATGTACGACAAGCTTCACGGCCAAATCTTTTTGGATGGAAAGCACAAAGATATTTTTGCAATCCACACAAAATAAAAATCTCCCCCACAATATGCACTTAAAATGTCGCAATCAAACAAAATTTTCACTTATAATTCAGAGCCCAATAATTACATAAACATAATATCTGTAATCTACAGTGAAGATTTACCATAAACTCAAATGGTGGTGGAGCATGATAATGGTGGAGTCCAGTTCGTCACCGTCCCCTGGTTCTTCCTTCTCGTACGTGATTGCAGAGTTAAATAGCTCCACCATGTGTGGTGTTACTTTCAAATCTCTGCAACATTTTCCTTGGAACTGGAGCATTTTCACTTCCATCACTGGCTATACTAACACAGACGAATTTTTCTTCCCATAATTTGTTATATTTTCTACCACTGTCGTAAGACACTTTGCAAAAACTAATCATTTTGAAAACTATCAATCAGAATTTCAGAAAGTAACTCAGATGGCTTTGTAAACTATAAAGCAGGGGTTCTCAACCAGGGGGAATTTCCCCCCTCAGGTTTTCAGAGACGGGGGAAAACTGATACTAATATGGAAATAATAAAGGATTTTCAGTATTATATGCATATTATTTGGAATGCACTTTTTGAGGCAGACAATCTTGGAAAGGAGGGGGGAATGACATTCTGACATATGGTGAAAAGAGTGCATGGAGGCAAACAAGGTTGAGAACCACTGCTATAAAGCTTAACCCATATGCTGGACACGTTCAGTCTGAACAACTCAAATATGAGAACTAACAACTAAGGCAGTAACTAGTAAGGACAGTCACCTTTCAATTGAGAAATTTGAAAATCTGTTAGACATGTCTTCAAAATCCACTAGATGAGGTATTAACACAAAATTCGGCCAAATAGTTTGGCCGTGACCAACCACTTTCCACGGCCGAAGTAGAAAAATTTGACAACTAGTCTTAGCGAGTCCCAGAGATAACCGATTCGAGTAAGTGACAGCAACAACGTCGTGGACCCCCCTCCTTCCCACCCACCGCACACCACTTCGTCCGAATGATTAACTATAATACAAACTTCATCGTATATACAAATTTTAACTATACACACTTTGGCTTCTACATTAGATATAATTACTTTGCCTAAACTACTATTCATGTAGCCTTACCACAGTAGTAGTATAAAATCTAACCTTACATGAGCCACACTTTCTATAATAATTAAATATCCATTCTTGAAACTTATGAATACAACAAATTTTGCTCATAATTCTCTTCCAACAGGTTATGCAAGTCAGGAACATTGTACAACAATAGTTATGCTCACCTTTTTATAAGACTTCAGGCCAATGTCAACAGCTAAGAATGCTCTTTTCCAATCTCCTAATAATAATTTCTTGAAATAAAAAATAAACATCGCCAACATTTATAGAAAATTATTAAAATTCTGGCTCCTTGTACAAGACTTTTTTCCCAAAAAATAATCAAATACCCTTCGCCCATCGGCGTCAGAGGCGAGGGGTGACTAGTTGAAGCAAGTCTGAGACTCAGTAGTATACTTGCTAACAAACACATGTTCCTAATAGTTACTGAAAACAAACAAAATTATCACAAATTTACGGCAAATTGGACGAAGATGTAAAATAATAAGCTTAATATACAGAGGGAACCTCACAGTATTCACCCAATAAAATCCTTTTTAACTATGGTAAATTTAATTTATGCTCACCTGTATACAGTATAAAGCTTCAGCCAAGGTCAAATACCCTACAAAGCGTCATCCACCTCCCACCAACCGAATAAGTCATTAAACCGTCAACCTTTATAGACAAATTATACTTATATCAAGTCCAAATATCCACTTATATCAAGACAAATCAACTTGTATAACAACAATTCAGAGAACAACACTCGCAGCACAATTAGTAGGTATAACCTGTAATATTTGATCAGTAACATTAACTATGATCGGTACACAATAGTTACTGTTCAAATTTAATCATTTACCTATTATACAGTACAGCATTAATTTACCACAAAATTACTGGCAAAATACTGTATTTAAGTTGAACTGAACCCCCTCCCCCCTAAAAATACCCCATTTGTTGGTACAGTTCCTGCCTTTTCCAGTATTGTATTTTTAAAACGTATATACAGTACACTCGCACCGAGCGCGAGGTGGCCGACGGGAAGTGTCTGGAACCCCTCCGTGCCAGCAAGCTGGGGCCGAGGCAGGCATTGCATGGTATGTCTGGCAGCGTAGGAAGACTAGAGGAAAAGCCAGTCAGCCAGCATTAAAAGAGTTCACCAGTTGCCCTCATATTAACACAATTACCAAGATTTAAAATCGTGTAAAGTACCTTAGTATGAAATTTAAACTACTTTCTTACAAATCCTGGAGACTAAGGGATTTAGGTCAAGCTTATTTTTGGAAAAATCAATATTTTGACAACGTGAAAACTAACTTCTTCGTATCGTAAAGATGGTCTACATATTTAAGAATACCCTGTATCTATAAAGGCTTTTTAAAACCTACAAACAAAGCATACTTTAAATATGTAATTATTTCAAAATAAGTTAACAATTACTCTAATTTTTTTTTAAAGGTGAACAAATCCTTAAACAAAACTAAAACCACAACGACAGCTACAGTACTGTAGGCCTACTTTAAGTTATAGCAGAATGTTTCCGATTTTGTGCAACAACAGTTCCGTTAACAGAAACTAACAGTCTTGTGTACTCGTCTTCACGGTCCTCGAAAGAATAATATTGTAACTAAAAATTAAGTAATGTAGTCTTTGTACAACTGTAATGCAATAAAATAAGAACACACATCTACAGTACGTCTCTATAGCCAAAATATATACCAAATCTTGTGAAGTACGTCCGAATAAACACTTAAAATATTTAACATTAAATCTTCGTGAACATGAAATTAACCACAATTAACACATACCGCATAGGAACAGGGTTGCCACATGTACGACAAGCTTCACGGCCAAATCTTTTTGGATGGAAAGCACAAAGATATTTTTGCAATCCACACAAAATAAAAATCTCCCCCACAATATGCACTTAAAATGTCGCAATCAAACAAAATTTTCACTTATAATTAAGAGCCCAATAATTACATAAACATAATATCTGTAATCTACAGTGAAGATTTACCATAAACTCAAATGGTGGTGGAGCATGATAATGGTGGAGTCCAGTTCGTCACCGTCCCCTGGTTCTTCCTTCTCGTACGTGATTGCAGAGTTAAACAGCTCCACCATGTGTGGTGTTACTTTCAAATCTGCAACATTTTCCTTGGAACTGGAGCATTTTCACTTCCATCACTGGCTATACTAACACAGACAAATTTTTCTTCCCATAATTTGTTATATTTTCTACCACTGTCGTAAGACACTTTGCAAAAACTAATCATTTTGAAAACTATCAATCAGAATTTCAGAAAGTAACTCAGATGGCTTTGTAAACTATAAAGCAGGGGTTCTCAACCAGGGTGAATTTCCCCCCTCAGGTTTTCAGAGACGGGGGAAAACTGATACTAATATGGAAATAATAAAGGATTTTCAGTATTATATGCATATTATTTGGAATGCAATTTTTGAGGCAGACAATCTTGGAAAGGAGGGAGGAATGACATTCTGACATATGGTGAAAAGAGTGCATGGAGCAAACAAGGTTGAGAACCACTGCTATAAAGCTTAACCCATATGCTGGACACGTTTCAATTGAGAAATTTGAAAATCTGTTAGACATGTCTTCAAAATCCACTAGATGAGGTATTAACACAAAATTCGGCCAAATAGTTTGGCCGTGACCAACCACTTTCCACGGCCGAAGTACAAAAATTTGACAACTAGTCTTAGCGAGTCCCAGAGATAACTGATTCGAGTAAGTGACAGCAACAACGTCGTGGACCCCCCTCCTTCTTCTTCTTCTACACTGTAATACATCGTAACATATTAAACTATACACACTTTGGCTTCTACATTAGATATAATTACTTTGCCTAAACTACTATTCATGTAGCCTTACCACAGTAGTAGTATAAAATCTAACCTTACATGAGCCACTCTTTCTATAATAATTAAATATCCATTCTTGAAACTTATGAAATCAACAAATTTTGCTCATAATTCTCTTCCAACAGGTTATGCAAGTCAGGAACATTGTACAACAATAGTTATGCTCACCTGTATAAGACTTCAGCCAATGTCAAATAGCCAAGAATCCTCTTCCACCTCCCACACACTTCTGAAATAAAAAATAAAAACGTCAACATTTATAGAAAAATTATTAAAATTTGCCCTTGTACAAGACTTTCTTTTTTCCCCAAAAATGTATGCGCCGTAGGCGTAGGTGACTAGCTAGCAAGTCTGGGACGAGCAGTAGTCTACTAAGCACAAACATTACGTTCCTAATATTACTGAAAAACAAACAAAATTATCACAAACTTACGGCAAATTGGACGAACATGTAAATAATGGCTTAACAGCAGAGAGAACCTCACAGTATTCACCAATAAAAATATTTCTTTTTAACTATAGTAAATTTAACTTATGCTCACCTGTATATTGTATATAAACGCTTCAGCCAAGGTCAAATATCCTACAAAGGTCATCCACCTCCCACTCAAATCTGAAATAAGTCATTAAACCGTCAACCTTTATAGACAAATTATACTTATATCAAGTTCAAATATCCACTTATATCAAGACAAATCAACTTGTATAACAACAATTCAGAGAACAACACTCGCAGCACAATTAGTAGGTATAACCTGTAATATTTGATCACTAACATTAACTATGATCGGTACACAATAGTTCCTGTTCAAGTTTAATCATTTACCTATTATACAGTACAGCATTAATTTAGCACAAAATTAATGGCAAAATACTATATTTAAGTTGAACTGAACCCCCTCCCCCCTAAAAAAAACCCATTTGTTGGTACAGTTTCCTGCCTTTTCCAGTATTGTATTTTTAAAACGTATATACACTCGCACTGAGCTCGAGGTGGCCGACGGGAAGTGATATTGCAAGTGTCTCGAACCCCTCCGCGCCAGCAAGCTGGGGCCGAGGCAGGCATTGCATGGTATGACTGGCAGCGTAGGAAGACTAGAGGAAAAGCCAGTCAGCCAGCATTAAAAGAGTTCACCAGTTGCCCTCATATTAACACAATTACCAAGATTTAAAATCGTGTAAAGTACCTTAGTATGAAATTTAAACTACTTTCTTACAAATGCTGGAGACTAAGGGATTTAGGTTAAGCTTTTTTTTGGAAAAAACAATATTTTGACAACGTGAAAACTAACTTCTTCGTAACGTAAAGATGGTCTACATATTTAAGAATACCCTGTATCTATAAAGGCTTTTTAAAACCTACAAGCAAAGCATACTTTAAATATCTAATTATTTCAAAATAAGTTAACAATTACTCTATTTTTTTTTAAAGGTGAACAAATCCTTAAACAAAACTAAGAAACCACAACGACAGCTACAGTACTGTACTTTAAGTTATAGCAGAATGTTTCCGATTTTGTGCAACAACAGTTCCGTTAACGGAAACTAACAGTCTTGTGTACTCGTCTTCACGGTCCTCGAATGAATAATATTGTAACTAAAAATTAAGTAATGTAGTCTTTGTACAACTGTAATGCAATAAAATAAGAACACACATCTACAGTATGTCTCTATAGCCAAAATATATACCAAATCTTGTGAAGTACGTCCGAATAAACACTTAAAATATTTAACATTAAATCTTCGTGAACATGAAATTAACCACAATTAACACATACCGCATAGGAACAGGGTTGCCACATGTACGACAAGCTTCACGGCCAAATCTTTTTGGATGGAAAGCACAAAGATATTTTTGCAATCCACACAAAATAAAAATCTCCCCCACAATATGCACTTAAAATGTCGCAATCAAACAAAATTTTCACTTATAATTCAGAGCCCAATAATTACATAAACATAATATCTGTAATCTACAGTGAAGATTTACCGTAAACTCAATTGGTGGTGGAGCATGATAATGGTGGAGTCCAGTTCGTCACCGTCCCCTGGTTCTTCCTTCTCGTACGTGATTGCAGAGTTAAATAGCTCCACCATGTGTGGTGTTACTTTCAAATCTCTGCAACATTTTCCTTGGAACTGGAGCATTTTCACTTCCATCACTGGCTATACTAACACAGACGGATTTTTCTTCCCATAATTTGTTATATTTTCTACCACTGTCGTAGGACACTTTGCAAAAACTAGTGGACATTTTGAAAACTATCACTCAGAATTTCAGAAAGTAACTCATATGGCTTTGTAAACTATAAAGCAGGGGTTCTCAACCAGGGGGGAATTTCCCCCCTCAGGTTTTCAGAGACGGGGGGAAAACTGATACTAATATGGAAATAATAAAGGATTTTCAGTATTATATGCATATTATTTGGAATGCACTTTTTGAGGCAGACAATCTTGGAAAGGAGGGGGAATGACATTCTGACATATGGTGAAAAGAGTGCATAGGGCAAACAAGGTTGAGAACCACTGCTATAAAGCTTAACCCATATGCTGGACACGTTCAGTCTGAACAACTCAAATATGAGAACTAACAACTAAGGACAGTCACCTTTCAATTGAGAAATTTGAAAATCTGTTAAACATGTCTTCAAAATCCACTAGATGAGGTATTAACACAAAATTCGGCCAAATAGTTTAGCCGTGACCAACCACTTTCCACGGCCGAAGTAGAAAAATTTGACAACTAGATGTGGCAGATTCCCAAGATAATGATTAGAGTAAGTAGCAGCAACAACGTCGTGGACCCCCTCCTTCTTCTTCACCGTAATACATCGTAACATTTTAAACTCTACACACTTTGGCTTCTACATTAGATATAATTACTTTGCCTAAACTACTATTCATGTAGCCTTACCACAGTAGCAGTATAAAATCTAACCTTACATGAGCCACTCTTTCTATAATAATTAAATATCCATTCTTGAAACTTATGAATACAACAAATTTTGCTCATAATTCTCTTCCAACAGGTTATGCAAGTCAGGAACATTGTACAACAATAGTTATGCTCACCTGTATAAGACTTCAGCCAATGTCAAATAGCCAAGAATGCTCTTCCACCTCCCACACACTTCTGAAATAACAAATAAAAATGTCAACATTTATAGAAAAATTATTAAAATTTGCCCTTGTACAAGACTTTCTTTTTTCCCCAAAAATGTATGCGCCGTAGGCGACTAGCTAGCAAGTCTGGGACGAGCAGTAGTCTACTAAGCACAAACATTACGTTCCTAATATTACTGAAAAACAAACAAAATTATCACAAACTTACGGCAAATTGGACAAACATGTAAATAATGGCTTAACAGCAGAGGGAACCTCACAGTATTCACCAATAAAAATATTTCTTTTTAACTATAGTAAATTTAATTTATGCTCACCTGTATATTGTATATAAACGCTTCAGCCAAGGTCAAATATCCTACAAAGGTCATCCACCTCCCACTCAAATATGAAATAAGTCATTAAACCGTCAACCTTTATAGACAAATTATACTTGTATCAAGTTCAAATATCCACTTATATCAAGACAAATCAACTTGTATAACAACAATTCAGAGAACACTCGCAGCACAACTAGTAGGTATAACCTGTAATATTTGATCACTAACATTAACTATGATCGGTACACAATAGTTACTGTTCAAGTTTAATCATTTACCTATTATACAGTACATCATTAATTTAGCACAAAATTAATGGCAAAATACTATATTTAACTTGAACTGAACCCCCTCCCCCCTAAAAATACGCCATTTGTTGGTACAGTACCTGCCTTTTCCAGTATTGTATTTTTAAAACGTATATACACTCGCACTGAGCTCGAGGTGGCCGACGGGAAGTGATATTGCAAGTGTCTGGAACCCCTCCGCGCCAGCAAGCTGGGGCCGAGGCAGGCATTGCATGGTATGACTGGCAGCGTAGGAAGACAAGAGGAAAAGCCAGTCAGCCAGCATTAAAAGAGTTCACCAGTTGCCCTCATATTAACACAATTACCAAGATTTAAAATAGTGTAAAGTACCTTAGTATGAAATTTAAACTACTTTCTTACAAATGCTGGAGACTAAGGGATTTAAGTCAAGCTTTTTTTTTGGAAAAAATCAATATTTTGACAACATAAAAACTAACTTCTTCGTATCGTAAAGATGGTCTACATATTTAAGAACACCCTGTATCTATAAAGGCTTTTTAAAACCTACAAGCAAAGCATACTTTAAATATCTAATTATTTCAAAATAAGTTAACAATTACAATATATTTTTTTAAAGGTGAACAAATCCTTAAACAAAACTAAGAAACCACAACGACAGCTACAGTACTGTACTGTACTTCAAGTTATAGCAGAAGGTTTCCGATTTTGTGCAACAACAGTTCCGTTAACGGAAACTAACAGTCTTGTGTACTCATCTTCACGGTCCGGGAATGAATAATATTGTAACTAAAAATTAAGTAATGTAGTCTTTGTACAACTGTAATGCAATAAAATAAGAACACACATCTATAGTACGTCTCTATAGCCAAAATATATACCAAATCTTGTGAAGTACGTCCGAATAAACACTTAAAATATTTAACATTAAATCTTCGTGAACATGAAATTAACCACAATTAACACATATCGCATAGGAACAGGGTTGCCACATGTACGACAAGCTTCACGGCCAAATCTTTTTGGATGGAAAGCACAAGGCTATTTTTACAATCCACAAAATAAAAATCTCCCCCACAATATGCACTTAAAATGTCGCAACAAAACAAATTTTTCACTTATAATTCAGAGCCCAATAATTACATAAACATAATATCTGTAATCCACAGTGAAGACTTACCGTAAACTCAAATGGTGGTGGAGCATGATAATGGTGGAGTCCAGTTCGTCACCGTCCCCTGGTTCTTCCTTCTCGTACATGATTGCAGAGTTAAATAGCTCCACCATGTGTGGTGTTACTTTCAAATCTCTGCAACATTTTCCTTGGAACTGGACCATTTTCACTTCCATCACTGGCTATACTAACACAGACGAATTTTTCTTCCCATAATTTGTTATATTTTCTACCACTGTCGTAAGACACTTTGCAAAAACTAATCATTTTGAAAACTATCAATCAGAATTTCAGAAAGTAACTCAGATGGCTTTGTAAACTATAAAGCAGGGGTTCTCAACCAGGGTGAATTTCCCCCCTCAGGTTTTCAGAGACGGGGGAAAACTGATACTAATATGGAAATAATAAAGGATTTTCAGTATTATATGCATATTATTTGGAATGCAATTTTTGAGGCAGACAATCTTGGAAAGGAGGGGGAATGACATTCTGACATATGGTGAAAAGAGTGCATGGGGCAAACAAGGTTGAGAACCACTGCTATAAAGCTTAACCCATATGCTGGACACGTTTCAATTGAGAAATTTGAAAATCTGTTAGACATGTCTTCAAAATCCACTAGATGAGGTATTAACACAAAATTCGGCCAAATAGTTTGGCCGTGACCAACCACTTTCCACGGCCGAAGTAGAAAAATTTGACAACTAGTCTTAGCGAGTCCCAGAGATAACTGATTCGAGTAAGTGACAGCAACAACGTCGTGGACCCCCCTCCTTCTTCTTCTTCACTGTAATACATCGTAACATATTAAACTATACACACTTTGGCTTCTACATTAGATATAATTACTTTGCCTAAACTACTATTCATGTAGCCTTACCACAGTAGTAGTATAAAATCTAACCTTACATGAGCCACTCTTTCTATAATAATTAAATATCCATTCTTGAAACTTATGAATACAACAAATTTTGCTCATAATTCTCTTCCAACAGGTTATGCAAGTCAGGAACATTGTACAACAATAGTTATGCTCACCTTTATAAGACTTCAGCCAATGTCAAATAGCCAAGAATGCTCTTCCACCTCCCACACACTTCTGAAATAAAAAATAAACACGTCAACATTTATAGAAAAATTATTAAAATTTGCCCTTGTACAAGACTTTCTTTTTTCCCCAAAAATGTATCGCAAATTACCCTTCGTCTAATGCGCCGTAGGCGTAGGTGACTAGCTAGCAAGTCTGAGACGAGCAGTAGTATACTAAGCACAAACATTACGTTCCTAATATTACTGAAAAACAAACAAAATTATCACAAACTTACGGCAAATTGGACGAAGATGTAAATAATGGCTTAACAGCAGAGGGAACCTCACAGTATTCACCAATAAAACTATTTCTTTTTAACTATGGTTATTTAATTTATGCTCACCTGTATATTGTATATAAAGGCTTCAGCCAAGGTCAAATACCCTACAAAGGTCATCCACCTCCCACTCAAATCTGAAATAAGTCATTAAACCGTCAACCTTTATAGACAAATTATACTTATATCAAGTCCAAATATCCACTTATATCAAGACAAATCAACTTGTATAACAACAATTCAGAGAACAACACTCGCAGCACAATTAGTAGGTATAACCTGTAATATTTGATCAGTAACATTAACTATGATCGGTACACAATAGTTACTGTTCAAATTTAATCATTTACCTATTATACAGTACAGCATTAATTTACCACAAAATTACTGGCAAAATACTATATTTAAGTTGAACTGAACCCCCTCCCCCCTAAAAATACCCCATTTGTTGGTACAGTTCCTGCCTTTTCCAGTATTGTATTTTTAAAACGTATATACACTCGCACCGAGCGCGAGGTGGCCGACGGGAAGTGTCTGGAACCCCTCCGTGCCAGCAAGCTGGGGCCGAGGCAGGCATTGCATGGTATGTCTGGCAGCGTAGGAAGACTAGAGGAAAAGCCAGTCAGCCAGCATTAAAAGAGTTCACCAGTTGCCCTCATATTAACACAATTACCAAGATTAAAAATCGTGTAAAGTACCTTAGTATGAAATTTAAACTACTTTCTTACAAATGCTGGAGACTAAGGGATTTAGGTCAAGCTTATTTTTGGAAAAATCAATATTTTGACAACGTGAAAACTAACTTCTTCGTATCGTAAAGATGGTCTACATATTTAAGAATACCCTGTATCTATAAAGGCTTTTTAAAACCTACAAGCAAAGCATACTTTAAATATGTAATTATTTCAAAATAAGTTAACAATTACTCTAATTTTTTTTTAAAGGTGAACAAATCCTTAAACAAAACTAAAACCACAACAACAGCTACAGTACTGTAGGCCTACTTTAAGTTATAGCAGAATGTTTCCGATTTTGTGCAACAACAGTTCCGTTAACGGAAACTAACAGTCTTGTGTACTCGTCTTCACGGTCCTCGAATGAATAATATTGTAACTAAAAATTAAGTAATGTAGTCTTTGTACAACTGTAATGCAATAAAATAAGAACACACATCTACAGTACGTCTCTATAGCCAAAATATATACCAAATCTTGTGAAGTACGTCCGAATAAACACTTAAAATATTTAACATTAAATCTTCGTGAACATGAAATTAACCACAATTAACACATACCGCATAGGAACAGGGTTGCCACATGTACGACAAGCTTCACGGCCAAATCTTTTTGGATGGAAAGCACAAAGATATTTTTGCAATCCACACAAAATAAAAATCTCCCCCACAATATGCACTTAAAATGTCGCAATCAAACAAAATTTTCACTTATAATTAAGAGCCCAATAATTACATAAACATAATATCTGTAATCTACAGTGAAGATTTACCATAAACTCAAATGGTGGTGGAGCATGATAATGGTGGAGTCCAGTTCGTCACCGTCCCCTGGTTCTTCCTTCTCGTACGTGATTGCAGAGTTAAATAGCTCCACCATGTGTGGTGTTACTTTCAAATCTCTGCAACATTTTCCTTGGAACTGGACCATTTTCACTTCCATCACTGGCTATACTAACACAGACGAATTTTTCTTCCCATAATTTGTTATATTTTCTACCACTGTCGTAAGACACTTTGCAAAAACTAATCATTTTGAAAACTATCAATCAGAATTTCAGAAAGTAACTCAGATGGCTTTGTAAACTATAAAGCAGGGGTTCTCAACCAGGGGGAATTTCCCCCCTCAGGTTTTCAGAGACGGGGGAAAACTGATACTAATATGGAAATAATAAAGGATTTTCAGTATTATATGCATATTATTTGGAATGCACTTTTTGAGGCAGACAATCTTGGAAAGGAGGGGGGAATGACATTCTGACATATGGTGAAAAGAGTGCATGAGGCAAACAAGGTTGAGAACCACTGCTATAAAGCTTAACCCATATGCTGGACACGTTCAGTCTGAACAACTCAAATATGAGAACTAGCAACTAAGGCAGTAACTAGTAAGGACAGTCACCTTTCAATTGAGAAATTTGAAAATCTGTTAGACATGTCTTCAAAATCCACTAGATGAGGTATTAACACAAAATTCGGCCAAATAGTTTGGCCGTGACCAACCACTTTCCACGGCCGAAGTAGAAAAATTTGACAACTAGTCTTAGCGAGTCCCAGAGATAACCGATTCGAGTAAGTGACAGCAACAACGTCGTGGACCCCCCTCCTTCCCACCCACCGCACACCACTTCGTCCGAATGATTAACTATAATACAAACTTCATCGTATATACAAATTTTAACTATACACACTTTGGCTTCTACATTAGATATAATTACTTTGCCTAAACTACTATTCATGTAGCCTTACCACAGTAGTAGTATAAAATCTAACCTTACATGAGCCACACTTTCTATAATAATTAAATATCCATTCTTGAAACTTATGAATACAACAAATTTTGCTCATAATTCTCTTCCAACAGGTTATGCAAGTCAGGAACATTGTACAACAATAGTTATGCTCACCTTTATAAGACTTCAGCCAATGTCAAATAGCCAAGAATGCTCTTCCACCTCCCACACACTTCTGAAATAAAAAATAAACACGTCAACATTTATAGAAAAATTATTAAAATTTGCCCTTGTACAAGACTTTCTTTTTTCCCCAAAAATGTATCGCAAATTACCCTTCGTCTAATGCGCCGTAGGCGTAGGTGACTAGCTAGCAAGTCTGAGACGAGCAGTAGTATACTAAGCACAAACATTACGTTCCTAATATTACTGAAAAACAAACAAAATTATCACAAACTTACGGCAAATTGGACGAAGATGTAAATAATGGCTTAACAGCAGAGGGAACCTCACAGTATTCACCAATAAAACTTTCTTTTTAACTATGGTAAATTTAATTTATGCTCACCTGTATATTGTATATAAAGGCTTCAGCCAAGGTCAAATACCCTACAAAGGTCATCCACCTCCCACTCAAATCTGAAATAAGTCATTAAACCGTCAACCTTTATAGACAAATTATACTTATATCAAGTCCAAATATCCACTTATATCAAGACAAATCAACTTGTATAACAACAATTCAGAGAACAACACTCGCAGCACAATTAGTAGGTAGGCTATAACCTGTAATATTTGATCAGTAACATTAACTATGATCGGTACACAATAGTTACTGTTCAAGTTTAATCATTTACCTATTATACAGTACAGCATTAATTTAGCACAAAATTACTGGCAAAATACTATATTTAAGTTGAACTGAACCCCCTCCCCCCTAAAAATACCCCATTTGTTGGTACAGTTTCCTGCCTTTTCCAGTATTGTATTTTTAAAACATATATACAGTACACTCGCACCGAGCGCGAGGTGGCCGACGGGAAGTGATATTGCAAGTGTCTCGAACCCCTTCCTGCCAGCAAGCTGGGGCCGAGGCAGGCATTGCATGGTATGTCTGGCAGCGTAGGAAGACTAGAGGAAAACCCAGTCAGCCAGCATTAAAAGAGTTCACCAGTTGCCCTCATATTAACACAATTACCAAGATTTAAAATCGTGTAAAGTACCTTAGTATGAAATTTAAACTACTTTCTTACAAATGCTGGAGACTAAGGGATTTAGGTCAAGCTTATTTTTGGAAAAATCAATATTTTGACAACGTGAAAACTAACTTCTTCGTATCGTAAAGATGGTCTACATATTTAAGAATACCCTGTATCTATAAAGGCTTTTTAAAACCTACAAGCAAAGCATACTTTAAATATGTAATTATTTCAAAGTAAGTTAACAATTACTCTATTTTTTTTTTTAAAGGTGAACAAATCCTTAAACAAAACTAAAACCACAACGACAGCTACAGTACTGTAGGCCTAC